CGAAGATTTTCACGCTCAATACATATTTCAGATGATGCCTCTTTTTGCTGATTCTCTAAAAGGCATTTCACCTTTAATTGTAGTAAATAATGATGCCAAGTGCTACCTTAAAGTAATTTGAGTCAAATAGTTATTCAAAGGAAAGCGCCCTTGGGTGGGAGAGGCGTGATTGTTAAAATGCCTCATAATCAATATACTTGTGGAACAGTCAAGGCAAGGAAAAATTTCACAAGACCGAAAAAGCCACACGGCATGATCATGAACCATCGCGGTCCTAATATAATTTGACAAGTAAATAAATAAAGTTAATCAACTATTCAGAGGTTGTACTAATTGTAAGCCCCAAGAAACTTCACTTGAGTCGACCAGTGCAGATCTGAAAATGATCCAAACCCAAGAAAGAAGACGCTTGAGTATGGAAGAACACAATTTAGGGAGAAGAACAACTTGAGGCTATCTGACACTTTGTTTTCCTTTTAATAGCTTCTTGATTATTTTTGTGTCGCAGTAACTACATTCATTTTGTGGACTTTCCATTTTGTCTTGAGTGTAGATCTTCATATCCACACCAACTTGAATGTATCTCTTCAGTAACATAATGGCTTCTGGCTTTAGCGGCCTGGAAAGCATATCAGGTGCCATACATCACCCTATTCTTGTATACAACAGGAACTAGGAAGAGGGGGTACATTCAAGCTCAACAGATCACTTGAATGACTAGGAAGAGTGGATATTTTCAACCTTTTTCATTGTACTTGTCCCATTCAAAACCGAGGATCCCTTGTACAATCCATCCACTTGTCCAATCCTAACAGGCTTGGCAATTGTGGAGTGAAGGCAGAGCATTGGACCTGACGGAGAAGCTAATGCCGATGCTTTATCAACAGCACAAGTAGTTCGGTGCATTCAAGTAGGGCTTCTCTGCTTGCAGAGCCATGAAATGGAAAGATCCAACCAACATGTTGGCTGCAGTCCTCTTGCATGTTCAGATTTTGAAGCTTGCCAAACTACGGAATCCATTCACGAGAAAAACTTGGACCAGGAACACCGTTGCCATTTCTACGGTTTATGGAAAGATAAAATCGCATCTGGCATTTTCTCTTTTCAGTTTTTCTTTCCAGGGAATTGGTGTTTTATTAAATTAGGTTTGAACATGCGTCTGTTACTGCACTTTAATGGGGATTTTGTGATGTAAACATAGACAAATTGAAAAAATTAGTACAGTTAAGTATACAATAACCATGTATGATACAATTAGTCAGTTTGTTCGGGTTGCATCATGAAGCAACCGTAATCTTTTGCTGAGAGCTATTAGTGATCCAACTCACAAGATCGACCCTCTTAGTGTTCTGATACCACTTGTTAGGGAACGATAACCATGCTCTTTGCAACGGAAAGCGTCTGCACTACCGCTAATTCATTTTCCTCTACCACAGGTATAATAATCTGAAAAATAGTATTGTCGGGAGAAGCAAGATTTAATAAGTTTTGCACATATTTACTGTCTGGCAACTTTCGAAAGAAAAAAATAGATATTTTTATATATGTAATAACAGTAGTAACTTCCTCATGTTGTAGGCAACTGTCACACCCCGAAACCTACTAGGACGAGGGATGACACGACCGTCCTTCCACCCGAAGGACGCAACCTGAAACCACAACCAAAGAACAAACTCCCAAAAGATCCCCGTTGATATCGCTCTCACTATAATAGCTACTAACTAAGGAACCTGAAAAGATTGGGGAAAGAGAGGGGTAAGCAACCACAATTCAGTAAATAATGCGTATCTCTTCTAAGCAGATCGAGCAACCACTATGCATACAGTTGTAAGACAAAACCAAAGCTTATTTAACCCCAACTCCAGCATATAATAAACGTCAATATCAAAATACGTTATATACTTCTTTAACATAACATTTTCACAATAGAAATGCTTATTTCAATCAATAATATCAAAGCAGAAAACAATAGTCCATTCCATTGACCAATCTCATAAAAAAAACACACACACCAATGATCCATTCCATTGGCCAATCTCATGCTCAGAAATCTAACTATCATCACGAATAATGCCCCGTGAAAATGCGACGAAGATTCCCTTTTGGCAAGGTCTCCACCTACTATAAGCCAGTGGCTCGGCCCACAAGGATATTCTAAACCAGTATGCACATACCCACAAACCCTCATTAGTTCACAGAGACATTGAGTATCAAATACTTATCCTCAACAATATCCTCCATAATGCCAAATCCAGAAATCATTTCATAAATCACAATATGGTTCTAAAACCATTTCATAATCAATTTTATAAATCACAATACGTTTCCCAAACTAATTACATAACCTTTTGTAACTCAGTTCATCCATAAAAATACTTTTTCGTAAAACGTTTCTCATATAATTTCATAAATATAATTCACAAATCGATATGTATAATTTTTAATAACATCTTCCATAAAACGTTTCTCAAATCATCTTAAAACTCATTCCATAAACCAATTCGCAACATAATACACATATATCCATTAACAATATTTTTCTTAAAACCATTCTCAAATCTTCTCAAATATCAAAAGGTAGTAATTGCCCGATCCAGGATTTTATGCAACAAACATACTTTAGTAACTCGTACAATACTCAAATCCCTATCGCTTTCAAAACATGAGTTTATAAACTCAAAGAAGAGATAGCACTACTTACCTGGGAAAGCCTATGATCAAACGACAAAAATTACTCAATCTGTCGAACTGCAATCCCAACAAATAAGCGAGAAACAACGTTAAAATCAAGTAAAACAATACATCAACTACGACTCGGCTAAACTAGGCTTAGAAGCTAACATAATGACTAAAAGGCACCCACAAATCGCTTACCCAAAGCGATTACTCAAAACCATCCACAACGCGGAGCTTGAACGCAAAACTTGATTACGCCATAACTTTCTCCACTAAACTCCATTTCAAGCGAGCTTGTAGTCAAAAGAAAGCCCATTCAGAGTACTAAAAGAACCCCAGCTTGCCTGACCCAAAAGCAGGCCAAAGGCAACGAAAATCAGCAAGGAAAGCTGCCGTCGTGCACTGTTCACCCCTTGCGGCCAACTTCAAAAATTCATATCGGGCAAACCGTAAGTCCAAATCGAGTTCCGTAAAATCCCATGGCCCCACAATATCCTAAGCTACCAATTCTATATATGTACATCGCTCGACAACTAAAAAATTGAACTACGTGGCTTGAATTTCACCAAACTCTGAAATTTGAACCCTAACCCGAAAAATACTTCGATTAGAAACGAGGGGTGCAAACACTTACCGAGCATTGCAATACGAAGTCGATTCTACTTGGCGAGGTCCCGTGGCAAGAACCTTTCCCTTTCCCTTTCCCTTTCCCTTTCTTCCCCTTCTTTCCTCTTTCTTTTTCCCCTTTTTCTTTCCCTTTTCCTTTTTTTTTTTTTTCCTTTTTTTTTTTGCCCTTTTTTCTTTCCCTTTTTCTCTCTTCTTCTTCTCTCCCGTAGGTGTCTCGGCCTTCTGTCTTTAAAAGCTGAACGCTACCACTTTTACTTTTGCTTCTCAAATTTCCTTTTTCTTTTTCTTCTTGTGGGTCCCACCATTTTCTTTTTGACTTGATCAAAAATCTCAAATATTACAGCAACTTTCTTTGACTTGGAGAAAACAGAATTTCTTGCTTGGCAATTTGAAGAACAAATTATCACTTATAAAAGCAATAAAGTCATTACTTTTTACCACCCGCCTGGGTGGCGCTTCTGGAAAGGGCACTCTTCCTCTCGCAAAAGGTTGGGTGTTCGAATCCCGGGCGCCGCAGGGTGACTTAACCGGTGCACGTGTGTGGTGGCTAGCACGTGTCGCCCCCAGGGTTTACCTCCCGGCTGTCGGCCGTGCGGGGGTTCTCTGGGTTACAAAAAAAAAAAAAAAAAAAAAAAAAAAAAGTCATTACTTTGGTAACATGGATTCAAATTTGCTCACGGCTAACAAAGAATGAGCAGCCCATGGCTTTGAAGACCACTATTTCATCGATGCATACAACACTACGACTATCCTGTATTTCAATTCAAAGAATGACTAAAGAATGATATAAAAGAAGACGGGTCAAAATACCTTATTATCAATATCAAGCTATGCACGTATTTTCACATTTAAACAAGATCTTATGGTCATTTCCATGAACCTTCACTTGACTTTGTATACTAATAATAATGATGCAGAAGTGAGGAATAAGGAATTTCTATATATTTCGATATATCATAATGAATAGTACATTAACCTATTTATAGGCTTTATGAGATGAATATCTTAGGTAACATATATCAATCAAGATATATACAATCAAAGAGAGATATATATAATCATTAGAATTATCAAATATCTCTAACATAAAAAATTATCTTAGAGAAATCCCTATTTATCTCTACCAACGTTTACTTATTTACGACATCAATTCATAAATCAATACAGTAATCTGATCTCTCGACATCCTCTGGCTTTGCCACATGCAAAAGGGCATGATAAGATGCTGATGATTTCGATTTGCTTACTGTCGTTCTCAACAAACAACTGTGCAAAAGCAGAAGCTGAGATGACCCGAAAATGAAAATTTAACTAGCATCCAGACTCGCACAGTTCGAAACCTGACCCGACCACTAGGTTCGGCATATCTTCTAAGAAGCCTCTTACTTTCTAGACAATCTATTCTCCGAGATTGTTCCCTTAGGGGTCAGATCCATTGCTAGACACCCGGAATTTAGTAATTACCCAGTGCATGTCGAACGAAGAAACTAGTAGGAACTAGGAAGGGAATATTTGAGGAGGGAGGATTATACATCACCTCTCAAAGGAGTCAACTTTGTGCACGGAACCAGAAAACGCCAAGCTTACATGGACGCTATAATCTTTGGTCGCCTTTGAAAGCCGCCATCTTGACTTGTACTATTCTAGTTTTGCCAAAACAAAACACAAGGTCATCATTCAATAGTTATATCCCAGTTGAATGTCGATGTCCGGCGACTGTCCTAGAACCAAGTCAGCCATTATCAGGGCCCAGTTGAAAACTGGTTTATTCTAAGACATGAACTTCTATGAACCACCTTAGTGAGAAATTAAGCATTATAGCTTGGTTAACAAGCCTTGCTTCTCGAGCGATACTGCATTCATCCATTTTGATCTGCCTACGAAAACAGCGAGGCTCTCGAGGCCAATATCATCTCTCTCAAATTCATCGGTACGTCTTGAGTCAGTCTCATCTTGTAGTTGCTCTTATGAATGCGTACTTTTATACCTCCGTCATCTTTTTCCTGCTTCAAGCGCTTCAAAGCAGAGCAGTGTTAAATATAACTGCATCAGAGCCGCTTCTTCAGAACCAGACGCTGTTGTCCAATAGTCAAATCTTTGAGCTCGGGTTCTTCACACCTAATGGATCACAAAACCAATATGTAGGAATATGGTATAAGAACATGACTCCTTCCAAAGTTGTCTGGGTGGCCAATAGGGATCAGCCACTCACAGGTACAGATCGATCTGCAAGCTTGACAATAGGCAGTGATGGAAATCTGAAGCTTCTTGATGGACGGCAAAGCCTGGTCTGGTCTACCAATGTGACGGTCAATTCAAATTATTCTGTAGCAACACTTTTGGACTATGGAAATTTTGTTCTGCAGGACAGAAATTCGAATGAATTATGGGGAAGCTTTGATGAACCTACTGATACCCTTTTCCCAAACATGAATTTGGGAATAAATGTGAAAACAGGAAAGAAATCATACTTGGTTTCCTGGAAAAGCGAAAATGATCCCTCATCCGGAAGTTTTGTCCTAGGAATCACGTCAGAGACACCACCTCAGGTATTCGTGTGGAACGGATCAACTCCTTATTGGAGAGGTGGGCAATGGGATAAGTCGACCTTCGTCGGGATACCTGATATGGATGACACATACATGAGCGGCTTTAGTCTTCAGCAGGATGTTCAGCAGGGAACATCATATTTCATCATTAACAATTACAACAACTCTTTCTTCGGATATCTATTGATCTCATCAGACGGGTCTTTAAAGCTACTGGATTGGGATGACCGTACTGACAAGTGGTTAACAAATTGGGAGGCACCGACAAATCGCTGTGAAATTTATGGAACTTGTGGTCCTTTTGGTGTTTGCAGTTCATTAAAATTTCCTATATGTAGATGCTTAAAAGGGTTTCAACCAAGGTCCAATCAAGAATGGAACAGAGAAAACTGGACAGGAGGGTGCATCAGGGAAACAGAATTAAATTGTCAGAGAAACACAAGCACCTCTGCTCCAGTAAAAGAAGATGTCTTCTTGAAGATGAGCCAGATGAAATTGCCCGATTCCTCCAATTATTTGTCAGACATAGCAGATGCAGAAGAATGTCAAAGTTGGTGTCTAAGTCATTGTTTGTGCTCGGCTTACTCTTATGTGAATACTATAGGATGTATGGTTTGGAGTGAAGAGCTCATGGATATTCAACAATTCACCACAGCAGGGGAAGATCTGTTTATTCGCCTTGCACATGAAGATAAAGGTTCAAAAACTTGAATTCAGATTAGTTTCATTTAGTATGTCCAATATTTCTGGTAATTTACTCCATGACTTCAGGTTTATCAAAACAAACGAAAGTGATCATCAGCCTAAGTACAATTTTTGGCATCATCTTGTGTGGAGCTGCCATATATGGTCTATGCAAGTGGAGAGTTAACAAAAGAGGTATGTATAATCCATATCATAAGCTTTTTATGGTAAATGTGATATGAGAATCTTGCATATTATATGCCCTGGCACTGGAAAATAGGCAGCTTCTATAACAGAATCACTTCTTTCCTTCTCGTGTCCTCATTCTGGGCTTCTTTTCTCCTGTTTCCCATAGTTGGTTTTATGTGAACTATACAGTCGCCGTACAAATGAAGACCAGAACAGTGTCTTCTAAATTGTTAGTTCCTCATTCTCGAATCACATAAAAAACAATGTTTCATCTATTGTGCCTTTACTTGCTCAATCTGTTTATAAACAAAGCATGCTCACTCTGCATACATAAAAATTGCAGGGATGTTTAAGACAAGGAAAACCCCACCACTACTTTACTCAGGGGATACGACGGATAGGTCAGAAGAAGTGCAGAATGCATGCAAAGAGCCATGGAGGCAAGATAATGCATCAGAGTTGACACTTTTCAGTTTTGATAGCTTATTACTTGCGACAAACAACTTCAACACAGGCAATAAACTCGGGCAGGGAGGTTTCGGCCCCGTTTATAAGGTAAAGCCTTCTCTAAGTATAACATAGAGGTCATCAGTCAAAGCTGAAGGTGTAATGATTCCATCAATTTGGAAACAGGGAAAGCTGAATGATGGAAAGGAGATAGCCGTGAAAAGGCTTTCGAGCAGCTCAGCACAAGGCGTGGAAGAGTTCAAGAATGAGATCCTTCTGATATCTAAACTTCAACACCGAAATCTCGTCAGACTCCTAGGTTGCTGCGCTGAAGGAGAGGAGAAAATCTTAGTATATGAATACTTGTCGAACAAGAGCTTGGACACCTTCCTTTTTCGTCGGTTTCACTCTCTAAAGAATTTATTTCCATTTTCTTATGAGGGATACAAAATCTAGTACTCAAACTAGAATTTCTTTCTGTCTGCTACCTTGCTTAGATTCAAGGAAGAAGGCTGACCTGAGCTGGGACATTCGTTTCCACATCATCCAGGGGGTTGCCAGAGGGCTCTTGTACCTACATCGTGATTCTTGTCTTAGGATTATTCATCGAGACTTGAAAGTGAGCAACATCCTCTTGAATGAAAAGATGGATCCGAAAATTTCTGATTTTGGGCTGGCACGGGTATTTGAAGGCGCTCAAGTCTTGGTAAACACACAAAAAGTTGTCGGGACACTGTAAGTTTTTTTTTCTTTCATACTAAGATATGACTCAATCAGGCAAATTTTTATCTAGCCGGGACATAATTAGTATAAACTGTTCACAAATCGCCTCGCACATGTCCCCAAGATCAAGAGTAATATCTTAAAAATTAAGAGCAAAGCTGTTGGTGCCTGGGATGTAAAAAATCTACCAGCCTCAAATTTCTGACCCTTATTTTATCTTAATTAAGGATTTTCTAACTTTGAAGTGCATCCCACAAATCTTCGGTTCTTCTGGTTTTTTTATGATTATGACATTATGTGGTAGAGACTTTGAAATGTTTAAATTATGCAGCGGCTACATGTCTCCTGAGTATGCCATGGGTGGAATATTTTCTGAGAAATCCGATGTTTATAGCTTCGGAGTACTGCTCCTAGAGATTGTCAGCAGCAAAAAGAACACTAACTTAGGTTACCACGAACAACATCTCAATCTCCTCCTCTGTGTAAGCGCAACATCTATCTCACATCTAACATCTCTCCTTTTTGGTGATTGGTAGTCCCTACCTACTCGTAGAAAAATCTGACAATCGTAGCATTCTTACAGGCGTGGCAATTGTGGATTGGAGGTAAAGCACTGGACCTAATGGATGAGGCAATTGCAGATGCCTTTTTACCGTCAGAGGCGATTCGATGCGTTCACGTGGGGCTTCTCTGCGTGCAGGACCATGCCGTGGATAGGCCCAACATGTCCCAAGTGGTTCTGATGCTAAGCGGCGAATCGGATCTTCCTCAGCCGAAACAACCTACTTTTACCTTTCAAAGCTTAAAAACTCATGATATTTTGTCATCACAACAACAAAGTAACTCGTCCACGAACGCCATCACGAACACTGTCGTTGAAGGTAGATAATCAATCATTGTGATCTGTAAAATTTGTATCTATGTATAGATTAGAATGGCTTGCATCTACATTTTGTTCAAAAGGATGAATGGACAGTTCAGTTTTTGTGGAATTTGCCATTCGAACAGCTACATGATTAAGTGGGTTTGGTCTCTAGCTGTCTAATAAGTTGTTTGAATAAACTATTTGAATCCGAAACCTAAACTTAACTTCGATTACATTAAGGACACAAATGGGTAAATTAGCACAGATAGTTCAAGCTGAACCACCCTGCAAGAATCACTAGTCAACTTCAAGTGCATCCTTGAAGCAAGAACACTTTACAATCCTGCCAAGATGATCATCAATAACTACATTTACAGTTTTCTTTAGCCATTCTTCTAAAAAGCCCAGATAAAGAACAATGTTGCTCCATTTCAGTGCACCATCATTGCTGAAGCGCTATCACTGAAATGATGGGAAATGAAAGAACCTCTGAAGGCGCAGTCAGAGCCGATTCTTCGATTTCGCGACATCCAAGTGACTCAATTTGGCGAATATTAGCCACATTAAAAAGGCGTTCTCTCCAAAACTTTATCTGTCGCAGTCGTAGCATAGCTTCTGGAGCTGAAGTCGCCATGATCGACATGGCAGAGTATTGCTGATCTCTTGGCTAAACTGAAAAGCAGAGGAGACATATGAGAGTGCTGAGACGAGGGGTTTGTTAGTGGGCAAATCCTTGCATGGACCTAGATACACGAGTATTCTATTATAGTTGTTGATCATGTGGACTCACCTATGTGCCACACCATTAATGATTGTGATTATTTTGGATACATGGACACTTATACACACTGAGCCCCACTCTTCAAAAACTTCAAATTTCTCCTTTTCTTTTAGGATTAATATTTCGAAAAACCTTATAATGGTACACTTAAGATAAATTTAGTCCAAATTCGTATACCTATGACAAATTTACCATTTGTGATAAATTTACACTTCATTGGTTTCCGTCAAATTGAATTAATATCACGAAAAACCACAAATTGATACACCTATGACAAACGGAGGGTAAAACCCCAAACTTGTACATCCGTCAACCGCCACATATCATCCAACTCAGCAATTTGACAATAAAATTTAACAGAAACTAATGGAGGGTAAAATTGTTACAAATATACCAATTTGGGGTTTTAAGTTATCAAAAAATTAGTTTGGGGGTAAATTTGTCGTGGCTGTACTAATTTGGCGTTTTTCGTGATATTAACCATTTCTTTAATTCTCAGGTTGCTTTCTCTCTTCTGACACTTTCTTTTCTTCTTTTTCCTCCTTGTAACAATCACCCTCGTGGCCATGCGATCCATCTCATCGTCGACACCTTCGTGGCCGCATGATCCTTCAAGCTCGCGCTGCTCAATCAAGTCTCGAATCTCGGTCTGTCGTTCAACGGGTTCATCCTTTTCGCATTGAAGCCACGATGGGTTGTGTTTGAGTAATGGAGCCAGACCTTGGTCACCGCCAAATCTTTCGTCGTCGAACAACTCGCATCGATTTTTGACCGGGCCCAAAGAAGTCGAGCCTAAATTGTTAGGACTCGATCAGTGGCCTAGCCCTAAATCACTAAAAGTTGTTTGAGACGGTTTGGTTACGTCTACCTAGGGTCAAAGCCTAATATTTTCTTTTAAACAAAGGGGTTATTTATTTACTATCAAATTTCAAAACTTCGACAAGCGATCAAGTAGTTAACAAAGTCATTTATATAAATGTCACCTAAAGTAATGAAATCCACACACCTCGATTTTAACAGGATATAAATTTGATTCGGGTAGATTTAGAAGTTTCGCATAGAGAATCATGACAAATTTTTTTAGATAATAAGGAAAAGTGCACTGAAAGTCATAAAACTTGTCACGAAAGTGCAATTGAATCCTAAAATATTTAAAAAGTGCAATTAAATCCTAAAAATTGTCAAATTGGTTCGATGAAATCATTCCTTTAACTATGTCTAACTAGGCGGATGGAAAATGCTGATGTGGCATTTTTTGTTACTTTCTCTCTCCATATGGAAGTTTTCAATATTTTCTTTATCAAAATTTACTTAAATTAGAATAAATTAATTAAAAAGGATAATTTAAAAAAAACCAAATACAAAAAAAGGAGAAATACACTCTCATTGGTGTCCGTTGCCACCACCCATCGTCGGGAAGAGCCAGCAGAGGTCGCCTATGCCTTGCTAAAGCCAGTGACCCTCGTCAGGGCCTATCCGCCCATATCTAGAGCAGGTCGCGACCCTCGCCCCAAATTTGAGCACGGGTCGCCAGCAAAGTGTTGCCTAGGGTCGAGTGAGCATCACCCACCACAAATGTGGTCTTGTCGGCCCTAGGTGAGGGCAGGTGACCCTTGCTCAAATCTAAGGTGATAGTCGCGCCTTCCCTTAGATCTAGGCTAGCAAACCCTCGCCGGGGGCCAGTGGGGCTTTGCTTGGGGCCGACCATCAATGGGGCCCAAGCAACTTCTGTCGGCCCTTTTCGATGACGGTGGCGATAGCAGCCATTGCCAAGAGCTATGATTAAGTTTTTTTTTTGTAGATTGTGTTTTTTTCTTTTTTAAACTTTTAGCTTTTTATTTTTTAATTTAATTTGGTTTGTATTTCTTTTAAATTTTTAAATTTTTTCTAACGTGGCTCTTTGTGGGTGCCACATCGACACCATGTGTCTTATGAAAGTAATAAAATAAGACACGTCAGCATTTTCCCTTAGCCTTGTTGGACGAACCAATTTTTCAAGTTTTAGGAGTTAATTGTACTTTCTAAAAGGTTTAGTACTCAATTGCACTTTCTTGATAATTTTTAGGACTTTAGTGCACTTATCCTTAGATAATATTAGAGTTTGTTCCAGGGTGGGGTCATTTCCACCCCTTCTTTGACCAAAACACCCCAGTTTTTATTAATTGACTTACAATCTCCTTTAATTTAGCGGTCCATTTGTTTCACAGAGAATTCATTTGAAAATATTTTTCTAAAAATGATTGTTGGCATATCTTAAAATAATTATTCAATAAAAGATATTTTCATTACCAACAACAATTTAAGTCTAAATATTTTCGTGAACGATGAAAATATTTGTTATTTATATGTTTTTATAAGAAACACAAATGATCAATTTTAGGCCTATAACGATGTGGATTTATGAGCTCACTCATCACACACACTGACGAAGGACAATCACTCGTATATATAGGCCTTCTCAACCAACTTAAATTACTTTCTTGGTGTTCTTTACAGCAACTTGTGCAATTCTCAACCATGGAATTTACTTTACTGACTACAAATGTTAACTAATTAAAATAATTTTCTTGCTTTAATGTCTTGAAGCAAACTTGCTTCCCACGCATGTCTAGACTTCTCTAGATTTGCTTAGAGAATTCTTAGAAAATGGTTCACAGATTTCATCAATTTGCAATTCCAATTTCCTCTGTTCTTACATGATCTTCACACGCGATGCAGCTCTTTTTGTGGAGGAAGAAGATTCTAAGTGTAGAGGTTGAGTCAAATTTGAACAGCGGCAAGGAACCATCCCTCGTTGAATTAGTCATTGAAGAAATGCTTCTGGAAAAGATTGATTTTATAGCCAGCCTTTTGACTCGAATGATTGTCATGTTAATCTTGATCTTTTGGGTCATTTTGGGCATGCAGTTGCTATCTGGGAAAAGCGTTATCGGCGCCCAGGATTGTGCTTAGTTTGTGCACGAGATGAACTTTAAACAAGCGCAGAAAAAGGACTTAAAAGACATCCTACCCTGAGCACCAAGGGTTGACTCTCAGAAAACCTTGCTCATCAATTCTTGCTCATCAATTCCTGTTCCGGCCAGAAAGTGCAGAATCAACCGACCCACAGAACTCGCTAGGGTCGTTCAGTCATTCTTAGTATGCCACTTGTGATTAGCTGGTGCTCTTGCTTGGTCTTCTTCATCCTACTTCAGGCAAGTCAAATAGCCAGGGGCGTGGTTTCCAATATCACGGCATCGGAGCCACTCTTCCCGAACCAAACCATCGTCTCCTCTGGCCAAATCTTCGAGCTTGGTTTCTTTACGCCGAATGGCTCAGAAAATCAATATGTTGGGATATGGTACAAGAACTTCCTGCCTTCTAAAGTTGTGTGGGTGGCCAATAGGGATTTACCGCTCTTGCACACGGATCGGTCTGCGAAATTAATGATAGGCAGTGATGGGAATTTGAAGCTTGTGGATGGACAACAGAATATAGTTTGGTCTACCATTGCCTCTTGTCGGTCTGATTATACGTCAGCAGCGCTATTAGATAGTGTTGGAAATCGCAAAGGATTTTTCAGATCTCAAGGAGACTCTTCGTAACCCAAGTTCATCTTGATACTTGGAATCTAGAAAGTTGTTACCTAGGAGGTTATGTCTTTCAAGATAGCCTTTAATATTATGAATCTAGACGTGTCTGTTCATGTGATTAGAGTAAACGTAGAGTCGTGTGTTAATCCTATATATATGTGCGTCTTATAATCTTTTTAATATACAAGTGAATACAATAGTATTTCAAATTTTGTTCTAACATTTGGTATCAGAGCCAGTTGGCTAAGTTTTAAAAGATCACGAGTCAGATGGCTTCTGTGAGTAGTGCCGGGAATGTCCAACCTCAACTCCCAAGGTTTGATGGGAAGAATTTTGAGCATTGGAAGATCCAGATGGAGGTGCTGTTCGGATTCCAGGAGCTGACCGAGATTATCGAAGAAGGATTCGTCGAGCCAGAAGCAGCGGCAGATTCGACAACGGAGGAGCAGAGGACAATAAAAGAAAATCGTAAGAAATATCGTAAGGCTCTCTTTTACATCTTTCAAGCGATAGATTCGTCAATCTTTGAAAAAGTGGCGAATTCGAAGACGGCGAAGGAAGCATGGGATACTCTCATCAAAATTTACAAAGGCGTTGAGAAGGTCCAGAAGGTTCGGCTTCAGACTCTTCGTCGACAATACGAGCTCCTTTAGATGGAAAAGTCGGAGTCCATTTCTGACTATTTCTCACGCGTATTGGCTCTTGTCAATCAAATGAAGGCCAATGGTGAGACTTTTGGTGATCAACAGATCGTCGAGAAGATTCTTCGCACGCTAACGTTGCAGTTCGAATATATTGTGACTTCCATTGAAGAATCCCGTGATCTCTCAGTTTTGACTGTGGATGAGTTGATTGGCTCTCTACAAATGCACGAGCAACGACTCAAGGAGAAGTCCAAGACGGTGGAGGAGGCTCTACAAAGCCAGTGGGTGTTACCCGATGAAAAGAAAAATCTTTCTACTCAAAAGAAAGATAAAAGGCGGCAGGAGAAGCAACCTCGACAACAAACAGATAAGTCCCATATTCAGTGTTTTAATTGTAAAAAGTATGGGCATTATAAATCTGAGTGTCGAAGCAAAAGGATTGATGGTCAAAAGTTTCATGCTAAAGTAGCAAGTTCTGTCGATAGATTTGTTGAAAGCAATGATGAGCATGGTAATGCTCTTTTATTCACGTGTAATGCTTCAGTGGAGAACTAGAAGAATGTTTGGTACTTAGACACCGGATGCAGTAATCACATGTGTGGCGAGAAGGAGTTATTCTCGAATTTCGATGACACCTTTCGTTCGGAGGTGAGGTTCGGGAATAATGCAAAATTTCCTATCACGGGAAAGGGGAGCATTAAAATCAAAACAAAAGATGGGTCGGTTCAAAACATTTTCGATGTTCATTATGTTCCCGGTCTTCGAGAGAATCTCTTGAGCATGGGACAGTTGTCCAAGTGAGGCTATCACATGATCATCAAGGATGAGGTTTGCACGATTCATGATGGCAAAGGAGGATTGATTGCAAAGGTAAAAATGGCCCGAAATCGCCTTTTTCGTTTGTATATTAATTATGCTACGTCATGTTTTAGTGCCTCAGTGCAAGATTCTTCATGGCTTTGGCACAAGCGGTTCGGACATTTGAATTTCGACAGCTTGAAGCTGTTGTGTCGAAAGAAGATGGTGCGAGGTCTGCCCGAAATTTCTTCTCCAAAGGAGATATGTGAACCATGCGTCATTGGGAAGAAGTCCAGAGAAAGCTTTCTTTCAGGAAAATCATGGAGAGCGTCGAAGCCATTGGAGTTAGTTCACTCCGATCTCTGCGGACCGCTTGGTGAATCGTCGAATCGCGGGTACAGGTATTTTGTTACCTTTATCGACGACTTTAGCAGAAAAACATGGGTTTATTTATTGAAGCAGAAATCCGACACCATCGATACTTTCAAGGAGTTCAAAGCCTATGTCAAATACCAAAGTGGGCACAAAATTCGGATTCTCCGAACTGATCGTGGCACAGAATATTTGGTTGGTGACGGCTTCTTTAAGCAATGCGGCATCAAGCATCAATTGACAGCACGATATACTCCTCAACAGAACGGAGTAGCGGAGAGAAAAAACCGCACTATTGTCGAAATGGTACGTACTGTGCTTTGTTCTAAACATTTGCCGAAGCATTTTTGGGCGGAGGCGGTTGCTTGTACTGTTTACTTGTTGAACAGATGTCCCACTAAAGGTCTTGAGTTCAAGACACCGACGGAGGTGTGGAGTGGTCGAATCCCTTCAGTTCAGCATCTTCGTGTGTTTGGGTGTATTGCTTATGCCCATGTGCCAAATGAGCTTCGTAAGAAGCTTGATGAGAAGAGCGAGAAGTGCATCTTCCTCGGTTACAGCAATGAAACCAAGGGTTATCGGTTGTATAATCCGGTAACGAAAAAGGTGGTAATCAGTCGAGATGTTACCTTCAACGAGGAAGGTGAGTGGACTTGGAACACGGAAGAAAAGAAGCAGTTTCGCTTTGTCCTAGATGAGGAGGAGACGGTTCAGCCCGATTCATATAGTCAATCTGAACCAGTAGCAATTTTGGTGGAACCAGATTCGATAGCAGATTCGATAGTATAGACTTCGACAGCAGTTCCTTCATCGAATTCTGTTGAAAATCCTATTGAAAATCTTGCTGAAAGTTCTTCACGTCCACAGCGAGAACGAGTTTTACCGGCTCGTTTGAAGGATTGTGTTTTGTCCAATGATGATGATCCCTCTGATGAAGAAATTATCAATTTTGCTCTCTTTGCAGATTGTGATCCGACAAAGTTTCAGGAGGCTTCCCAAGATAATGGTTGGGTTCGCACGATGAATGATGAGATCCACGCGATTGAGAAAAATGATACATGGGAGCTCACATCTCTCCCGGAAGGCAAAAAGTCCATCGGTGTGAAATGGGTCTATAAGACCAAGTACAAACCTAATGGTGATGTTGATCGGTTGAAGGCTCGTCTCGTAGTCAAGGGTTACAAACAAAAACCCGGGATTGACTATTTTGAGGTATTTGCTCCAGTTGCTAGAATGGATACCATTCGTATGATCTTTGCCTTGGCTACTCAGAAACATTGGAAAATGCACCAGATGGATGTCAAGTCCGCATTTCTCAATGGCGTACTTGAGGAGGAAGTGTATGTGGATCAACCTGAAGGTTATGTCAAGAAAGGACAAGAGGGCTTTGTCTACAAATTGAAGAAAGCTCTGTACGGCCTTAAGCAAGCACCGCGAGCGTGGTATACCAGAATTGACTCTTATTTTCTGAATCATGGTTTTACTCGATGTCCTTATGAGCATACTTTATATGTTAAGAATGGCTTGAACGGTGAGATGCTCATTACTTGCTTATATGTCGATGATCTCATATTTACTGGAGATTGTCAAGAGATGATTTGTGATTTCAGGGAGGCTATGACTCATGAGTTTGAGATGGTAGACATGGGTCTATGTATTATTTTCTCGGCCTAGAAGTTACACAATCGGAGGATGGTATTTTTATTTGTCAACAAAAATATGCCAAGGATATTCTTGAGCATTTCAAGATGGCTACTTGTGTCACGCCCCGAACCCCATCGAGCGCACGACATCCTCTACTGGTCGATTAATGCGATATCCCAGGGTATCGCCGACCTCACTTATAAATATCAGAGATTTAAATTAAACAGCGGAAACCTCAAAATACCCGGACAATTAAACTGGGGTAATCAGGAAGAATATACATATTCATTTCTGACTATCAAACTTATACAATATTCACAATTTACAAAACCACCACATATACAAGCACACCAAACTACGATCCACCAATTTACATAAGCACACCGTACTACAACCATCGATATCAAAAAGGACCGATGACCTGGATGTCCTATCCCCAAAAAGGTACTCCTCCAAAAACCTATCTTCCAAACCCCTATGCTAGCCCCTACGCCCCTTACTCGGCGTCCACTCTGAATCAGACTCCTCATCATCCGAATCTGAGCCTCCCTGATCAGCCTGTTCTTCCGAGGACTCCGACTCTGCCTCTATCACGATCGGGTGGTCTATATCCCCAGACTCTGCTGGAACCTCGATTTGTTCCTCCTCGACTGGCTCCTCAAAGAAATCGTCCTCCGGTACGAAATTAGGGTCCATCCACTGCTCAAATGGGAGTATATAATCCGGTTCTTCCTCAGGCTCTGCCGACTCAGCAGGCTCATTCTCGGGTTCCGCCTCGGGCTCTACCTCCTCTGGTTCTTCCTCGGGAATTGGCTCTAGATCTATATCCATTGGGTCGAATTCTGCTTGCGATCCTTTGGGCTCGGGTTCGTGCTCAGCCTTTGAAGATTCCTGTGCCACAGGCGCTGGATGCAGTCCAGACTGAGCCATACTAGTTTCCGCACTAGTCAATTCGCCGTCAGGAGGGGGTACGGCAGTCGGGTCCCAGTCTCCAACTAAATCGAAAGGGACGTCAAAACCACGAACGGTCCAAACTCGTCTACCCCGTCCCTGAAGAACCAGGCGGTATACTTATGCTCTTCCCATAGGGGTACACCTACGTCTACAAAAACTGTAGTAGTATGCTTAATCCAGGTCATATTATCAGCCATGGGAAACTCTAAAACTTCCTGTTCGGTGTGCACTGGTACTCCAAAATGCTCAGGTGGTGGCGGGGGATTCATTGTTCCTGTCGGGGTTCTGAAATGTTGGGTTAAAACAATCGTGAGACTACATCTCAGTAGTACACCCCTAAACCCCACCTAGGCTATTACGTACCTCCAGACAATTACACAAAACACAATCACACACAAACAATCATCACATAGCAGGCACATCAATTGATCTTACCTGGGCCTATCCTGCTTGCACCCTGCACGTTAGTCGCAACCACAATATATGCAATCACATGCATACTCAATTCTCATTCTTGCGCATTCGTTCTGGTCTAATCACATCGTTTCCACACTCTCGCCAGTGGCCCGCGTTACAGTACACGCCTCAGGTCCACTGCGACAAACTTATCACAACACTTCAGGGCCCGCGTTACAGTACACGCCTCAGGCCATGTTTCTTGCCCGCGTTGCAGTACACGCCTCAGGCTCAACATCTACCACCTACTACACAACCCGCATTGAAGTACACGCCTCAGGTTGGCAGTCTTCCGGTAATACCGGGCATCGTCCCGCGTTGAAGTACACGCCTCAGGACGGCACAATTCCCACGATCGCACATGCCACACCACCATACAACATACAATGAAACAAGGTAGTTAGGCATGGCCACGGGCCAGTTTTGGCTCGGAACAGGCCCGGTCAAACCCGGGCCCAGCCCATTGACCGAGCCCGCGCTTCGGAACCGGAACCGACGGTTTCGGGCCCGGTTCCAAATTATTTAAAATAATAATAATAATGAAATTTTTTTAAAAAAAATTCATTATTTAATTTTTTTTTATAAAACAATTTGAACTCTAATTGCCATGCATTGTAAGTGCATTGATCTCTAATTACAATGCTTGGCTTGGGTGTATTGAACTCTAATTACAAGGCTTGACTTGGGTTTTATGCACAATGATTCTAATGCCTCTTCGTTCCCATTCAATGTGGGACTCTCGCCTTGCCTTGAACACCTTCAGTGTGAGACTCTTGGCTTGTCTTCATGCAAATACCAAGAGTCCCACATCGAATGGGAATGAAGAGACCATCAAAGGGGTTGTGTATAAAACCCAAGCCAAGCCATGAGCATATGAAGTTGTATGCCTTTTGTGGCTATGATCATTTGCTAGTTAAGAGCAAAGGGTTTCATTGGACCGCCTAGAACCGGACCGGATCAATGGTCCAGTTTCCAGTTCTATGATTTGCCGGTCCGATTCCTAATTTTAAAATTAAGGGACCGGTCTTACCGGTTCGGTTCCCGGTTTCGAGCGGAACCGGACCGAACCGGGAACCAATCACCCCTACAATTTACATTTTGATTACAATTTATATTGAATAATTCATTATTTCATAATTTTATAATTCATTATTTTTTTATTTCATAATTTATTTTTTTTTATTTTTAAATTACGAACCGACCGGTTTCGAACCGGAACCGGCCGATTCCGAACCGTGGCCATGCCTAAGGGTAGTAGAGAGAGACGAACGATACACATCAACAAACCGCTTTTTAAGAACATAATGTTACTTACAAACGGCACAAGGTACTAGCCTTACTAGAGGCCACTATCGACGAACCGCACACAACAAAAAGGATCGGGTGATTGGTAAGCTTAACTCCTCCACAAAAAGGGGCACTCAAAAGACGAGGTAACTCGACCTATTCTCAATCCCCGTAGTACCTTGGCAGCGTCTCCGGATCAATCATGATCGCGGGTCTGAAATGGTTATATTACAACAATGAGAATAAATCTCAATAAGCAACTACCTAAGCCTCGCTTAGGCCAAAGCGTACCTTCGAACAATTCTAAACATGAAATTCGAACAATCGACGTGCCATAAACAATCACAGGCATCCTTACCTCACCTCGGCACATACACAAGCCCTGCACGTTAGAATATCACCATAACATGGCCAATTGCTCATCAAACAAGCACACTTCAAATCATGGCATAATCATAAGAAACATACTCAATATTCCGGGTTTCGAGCATCCACCAATGCATAGCATACGTTCACATGTATCCAGATTATTAACGACCCCTCGGGCCACCGAACTCCCGCCGGTCTTCTGGTGTAACCAGGCATCGTCCCGCTACGTCGGCGACGGCAACGTTGGGGATCGAACACCCCCCCGCAAGCCAGGTACCCAACGTCATTCTACTTAGGAGCATCAATCCGGCCTCCACCGCGATCGGCATCGTCTGGGATCGAACACCCCCCGGCAACCTTGGGTACCAGACGGCATCCGAACTCCCGCAGGACATCGTCTATAACTCCCGCCTAGACGGAACGTGACATGATCATGCACACACATTATCCACTCAATGCCAATTTTTATTTTTGAGAAATGGTCACATGCCAACCGAATACTTACTCGGCCAATAAAATGCCACCCTTTTCATTGATAACCCCACCTTTGAATAATTCCCCGAAAATGAGAAAACCGAATATACACAAATGGGTGATTCCGGGCAATTCTGGGCAGTAACACAGCCACCGAATTTCCTTTAAAATAAATAGTAAATCAACTCCAAAAATTCTGAAATTTGGATATATTGTACAAAACATCTTGATAAATATTTTTTATGAAGGACACAAAATCCATTTCTGACTGTAAATGCCTCATTTTGACACTCAAAGCTGGATAGAACCCGGTTCGATTGGACAGCCCCTCAAACCATAAAAAATACAACTCATTCAGTACCCAAATCACTTTGGAAAGCTCTGAAATGTTTATATGTCATAGAAACGGATGTTCTCAACAATTTTTGTGAAAAAAGTTTGTTGAAAAAAGGTCTGAAAAAATTTATAGAAATCGGAAAGACAAGAAGGTCGGGTGAACAGTAAATCCGGCAGACTGAATTCGGTCCAAAAATGGACTTACGAATGACCCTAAATGATCTCGAAAAATTCCAGATTTAATATATGTCATACGTCAAGATGTTATGAACAACTTTCATGAAGAACACTTCCTCCAATTCGGCCCACACAAGTCACAGAAAAAATAGCAAAATCCAGCGATGCAGCAGCAACCTTACCGGAAATCAACCAACAAGCACCACCAAGCAAACCAAGCATAACTAGCCACTAAACCAACTATCCACAGCCCTTAAACCATCCCTAACATGTCCATTAGTCACCCCTTAGCCTAGTCAAGGGTTAGGAGCCACTTACTTGGAAAAACCCAAGCAAACCGAGCAAGAAATGAAAGAAATGGTGGTGCGGTGGGCAGCGGCGGTCTCCAGCGGTAAGTGGCGGTTTTTGGTGACCTGGACGGCAGCTGCGGGCAAGGCGTGCAGCCAGAAGAAGCCAAGAAGCAGAACAAGAAGCAGCAGCAGGAGCAGCAAACCAGCAAGAAGGAAAAGAAAACAGAAGAAGAAGAAGAAGAAGAAGAAGAGAGGAGGAGGAGTTGGCCACGTGAGGGAGGGAGAAAGAGAAAGAGTGAAGGGCGAGAGAGAGAAAGAGAGAGTACAAACTAGGTCCTAGCCCTTTCAAGTGTGATCTAAGGGCCACAATTCCATCTTGTGGGTCAAGCCAAGATCCAAAGGCTCTCATTAATCCCAATTTTAAATTTAAATAAAAGGCTAAAATGCATAAAAAGGATTTAAATAAAGAGGAAGGTATATTGGCCTAAATCCGCACTCGGTCCAAATTTCACTTTCCGACAAATTCGGGCAATCTCGAGGTTGGCCACACTTATTTTGACATCATCCAATTGATTTCGTCACGAAACTCCGAGAAATTCGACACCCAAGTTCGGACTTTAAATAATGGCCAAATTCGATCAAACGCGACTTAAGCGAATCTCAAAATTAATAAATGGCTTTTAGGAGTTACGCGTATCGACTTGTGGCCGATTTGAAATCGAGCCACATCGAAGTTTTACTCGAGTCAGGGCGACCTCGGTCGAACCATGGTCAAGTTCTTAGGTCCACGTAATCAATTTCCAGTTAGCCTTTCCCTAACAATCAATTGTTGAGGATGATGTCTTGTATTCTGTTATCCAAGAGATTATGAGGCGGTTCCGAAAGGCCTCCTGATAACTGGACAGCACGGGGGTCCCGCTCATGTTCAGTCATAGAAGGATTTATGTTCAGTCATAGAAAGATTTATATGGGAAAGCTAAATATTTTAGGCTATGTGGGCAACTTTGTAATTTGTACCATGCAGGGTTTCGCTATATATATTAGGGCAAAACGGGTCTCTAGAATAGAGGCAGGGGGTGAGAAAAAGTGGCTGTACACTTTTCTACGTTATTAGTGAAATGGATCTCTTCTCTCCGTGGACGTAGGTAGGCGGAACATCTCCCCTGCTGAAACACGTAAATTCTTGTGTTGTGCGAATTTTCATTACTTTCTTGCATCGTTGATAGGATCGAATTTAGATATTCGACATCAATAACCCAAGAGTGATCAGTTCTGGGCGAGATTATACTACAAGTGCGTTGACGAAATAAACATTTTATAAATCCCAAAAATGGGCCGAAATTCGGAATGTTACGATATACATCTTCGTTTCGCCCGGAGGATCTCTTAAGTTCATGTACTGGGATGACAGAGCTGAGGCATGGTTCAAGGATTGGGCTGGACCAAACAATACTTGCGAGATTTATGGAACTTGTGGTCCTTTTGGAGTTTGTAACTCAATGTATTTGCCTATTTGCAGATGCTTAGATGGATTTGTGCCAAAGTCAAACAAAGAATGGAACAGTGGAAACTGGACCGGAGGATGTGTAAGAGAGACAGAATTGAATTGCCAGAAAAACACAAGCACTCCGGCTTCAACAATCAAAAAGAAAGATGCCTTTTGGCAAATGAGCCGGATGAAACTACCTGACTCTGAGGACTATTTATCAGACATTGGAGATCAAGAAGGATGTTTAAGCTGGTGCCTGAGCAACTGTTCTTGCTTGGCTTATTCTTATGTCAGCACCATTGGGTATATGGTTTGGACGGAAGAAGACCTCATCTACCTTGAGGAATTTTCCACAGATGGAGAAGATCTATTTGTTCGAGTTGCACATGCTAAAACAGATTAGAAATGGTTTCATTGAGATGCATTTGAGTCAACATCAATCGTCTTTTACATAACTCTCTTTCCTTCTTCAGGAGGATCGCCACAGAAAGCAGTTATCATCAGCCTGAGTACTGTTGCCGGGATCATGTTGTTTGCAGTATTTGTGTTTGGTCTTTGCAAATGGAGAGCTAAGAAAAGAGGTACTATTAAAGCGCCACATCAGTGTTTTCAGAGGATTGTGCTTCTATTTTGTTTGATCTTTCATCGCTATGAAGATAGTAAGCTGATTCTTCACCAATAATAAACACAGGAAACTTCAGAAAATTTTCAAGGCTCCTTGACTCGGTCGATAAACCTGAAAAGCCGGGCAAACTGCTACAAGGAAATGCATGGAAAGAGCAGCTGAAGCAAGATGATGCACTGGAATTGACCCTTTTCAGCTTTAATAACATACTACTTGCTACCGACAAGTTCAGCACGACAAGTAAACTCGGGCAAGGAGGGTTTGGCTCTGTTTATAAGGTAAAACCATTCTGCAGGACATTCGTTAAATGAAAATACAGAAATAATTCAAGGTCTAAAAGCTATGTAAATTGCGACACAGGCAAAGATGGATGATGGGAAAGAGGTAGCTGTGAAAAGACTTTCGAGTAGCTCTGCCCAAGGTGTTCAAGAGTTCAAGAATGAGATCGTCCTAATATCAAAACTCCAACATCGAGATCTTGTTAAGCTCATGGGTTGCTGCACTGAAGGAGATGAAAAGATTTTGGTATACGAGTACTTGCCGAACAAAAGCTTGGACACCTTTCTTTTTGGTTGGTTTTTTCTCTCCGAATAACTATTTTTTGGTAGTCTAATTTTTTGAAATAGCACTAAAACTTGAAAACTGTTCATGTTTGTCATGTTTGTTAGATTCAAGAAAGAAGGCAGAACTCGACTGGGGCAAACGATTCCAAATTATTGAGGGAATTGCAAGGGGGCTTCTCTACCTCCATCGAGATTCTTGCCTTAGGGTCATACACCGTGACTTAAAAGTGAGCAATATTCTCTTGGATGAAAAGATGAACCCGAAAATTTCGGATTTTGGGCTAGCACAGATGTTCGAGGGCACTCAAGTTTTGGTGAACACTCACAAAATTGTTGGAACACTGTAAGTTCTCTAATCCTACTTGAATTATCAATCCTTTGAGTCAATCTTTTGAAGGATATAGAAATGATTGATTTACCACAATGGTCCTGTCACTTTGTATATGTGTAATCCCATTGTCCTTCAATACAATTAAAGAGTACATAATATGTCCAATTCAATGCAGTGGCTATATGTCTCCTGAATATGCCATGGGCGGGATATTTTCCGAGAGGTCCGATGTCTATAGCTTTGGAGTGTTGCTCCTAGAGATCATTAGTGGCAGAAAGAATACGGCCCTGTATGACCAGGGATATCTCAATCTCCTTTCCTACGCAAGTGCCAAATTCCAACCTTAATCGATATTGTAAGTTCCAGGCAATATTATGACAGTGTTCTCTTGTAGGCATGGCAATTATGGAGTGAAGGCAAAGCATTGGACCTAAAGGATGAAGCAATTGATGTTAGCTTTCCATTGGAGGTAACAAGATGCATCCACGTCGGGCTGCTCTGTGTTCAGGACCATGACATGAATAGACCAAACATGACGAATGTGGTTATGATGCTAAGCGGTGAATCAGATCTTCCTCAGCCGAGACAGCCTATATTCACTTTCCAAACTGAAATGCCAAATCGTACTATTCCATCGCAGCAAGAAAGCATCTGGTCCGTTAACACTGTCACTAATACAATGGTCAAAGGAAGATGACGGCTATCTTTCTTCATGTTTATTTTCCTTTGTTGGCAGATGATTAAGTTGTTATTTTCCAAGGCATTAGTGTTTATTCGATTCAAGAATGGCTTTAGTCTGCTCTATGCAAAAGGTTGAATGAACTGCACCACATTTACATGGATTTTGTTGGAAATATGGGATAAATTGATGGGTGAATGAATGAGAAATTGATGCTCAAAGAACACCCTTGAGTTGGAAGTGGAATGTGGAAAAACACTAGTCCCACATCGGAAAAGAAAAAAAGGCTATGGAGTGCTTTATATACAGTTACACTTATTTGAAGTGGTAACTATCATAGCACAAACTCTCTGCCTCGCGCGCAGGCGCAGGGGGGGTGCAAATCCGACGCCCGACAAGCTGAAACTTGGGCACGATTGCAGGACCGAAAAGTGGGCCTCGCGACGAGCCCAATTTTGCCTTCTGATTTATATTTTTCTTTCAACTCAAACAGTTACGAATTTTTATAACGGCAGATGTAATCGTCCGTTATTCGTATTGATTTTATAACGGCAGATGTAATCGTCCGTTATTCGTATTGATTTTATAATGGCAGATTTAATCGTCCGTTATTCGTATTGATTTTGTAACGACAGATTTAATCGGCCGTTATTATTCCTGAATTGCTCTCCCCTCTGTTCCTTTTTATCGAAATCATTCTTCCTCTGGTTTTACACTCTCTCTGCATTTGCACTGTTTTTTCGGTAGTGTTCATTTCGAGTTTGTTCAAGTTCGCCGGAAGCTTGGAAGTGCCGTGCTCTCTTCTTCGCTGTCAACCGTTGTATCCTGGGAGACAGACGTTCACGAAACCTCGGTCGCGTACTGGAGGGAACGAAACTGTTTTAAGGAAACTGTGTCAAACATAGGCCTCGGTATTCATTTGTATCGATTCCAACTTTGTTATTCAATTTCGTTTCTTTATAGTTTTATATTGTTTGTAATATTTATACTGATGTCGATTTGAATTTCGCAACAGATTTTAGGCTGTAACGCAGGGGCTTGGAATAGCCAGAACTGTGGGTATTATGAAGGAGAACTACCAAGTAATCAGCATCAGGTCTTATCACAGTTGCATGAGGAAGATTTTTATTTTCTGGCTTTTTAGATGATAGACATGATTACTAAAGCTAGACTAAAGTTCCCAAATAAAAATCGTGATTATTGGCACAGCAAAAGTATTTTTAGCTTTAGTACGATTCACAGATATGATTTACCTTCTCCAGATTTGATAATAAGAGTTGTCTATGCCTATGGGAATTATATTGCTGCCTCGCAGCCATAAAATAATTCTTGGTTATCAAACTAGAGGAAAGAAAACAGAAAGTGGCCAAAAGCTTCAATGACTGAATAATTCACTTCAGATGAGCTTCGCGTGAAGATGGAAGGCCAATGTCAGCTAGTATGCTCAAACTGAAGTATTCAAGAGTCACCCTTTTCCTTGGAACCGGTATCAAATCTAGCTTTGCTGAACATTAAACCTGTGTTATTGCATTGACAGAAACAGATGATCAACAAAATTTGATCGGAAGCGGCTTCGACCCCTCATAAACTATTTGCACACTGGAAGGTTAAGTCAACTTTGAACACTAGTTGCAGGGGTTAAATTCATTTTGTGGGATTTGCCACTTAAACAGCTACATGATGAAATGGCTTTGGTTTGTAGCTGTCTAAGGCTGATGTAAAATTGTTTGAATTGAAAATCTAAACTTAACTTCGATTTCGTTAAGGACACAGGTGGGTAAATTAGCACAGATAGTTCAAGCAGAACTTCCCTGTAAGCATCACTTCTCCACTTCAAGTGCATAATCGAAACGAAAACACTTTTACAATCCTGTTAATATCACCATAAGTAACACGGTAACAATTTTCCTTCAAGCATTTTGCTAAAAAGCAGGAAAAACATCAATTATTGCTTCATTTCATTTTACCATTATACCCGAAGCACCATCACTGAGAAGCTAGGAATTGAATGAAACTTTGAAGATGCAGTCGAGCGGTTCCTCAATTGCGCAACATCCAAGCAACTTAATTTGGCAAATTGTTAGCCACATCAAAAGGTGTTCTCTCGCCTGAACCTCATCTGTCGCAGTCATACTATAGCTTCTCGAGTTGAAGTTGTTGTGATTGACATGGGAGACTATTGCAATCTCTTGGCTAAACTGAAATGCAAAGGAGACAAATGAGAATGCTGAATCAAGGGGTTCTCGGTGGGCAATCCTGGCATAGACCCAGGAACACGTGGTACGCGTCTATCATGATCTTTGATCACGTGAGCCCACGTATATGTGTCATGCGATCATGGACCTGGATTCAAACAAGATGCCCCTCTGTTAAAGGGTTATGCAGGCTAAGCCTAGTGCCATTTTTTGACCGGGCTTAAGCAGGTCGAGGCTAAATTTTCCGAGGCTCAATCCGTGGCCGCTTCAGGGCAATGCCCACTCTGAAAAAAGGAAAGATTTAGTCACTATCAAATTTCAAAACTCCGACAAGCAATCAGCTAATTAATGTAAGAATTATTTATGAATATATAAATGAAAAATTAAAGAAATGAAATCGACGCTTCTCAATTTTAACAGGACATAAGGTTTGATTAGGGTAGAGTTCGGATTTTCGCAAGAACAATGAAAACAAGGTTTTAAGACAATAAGAGAATATGTTTGAGGTTCTGTCACGCCCCGAACCCCATCGAACTCGCGACATCCCTCTTTGGTCGAATTAGTGCGACGTCCCAGGAAACGCCGCCGACCCAAACCAACACATCAGAGATAAAGCACTAGCAAAAGCCACAAAAACCCAAACAATAATTGACTAGGGGTAACAGGGAGAATATACATCTATTACCGATTCAAACTTATACAATATCCACCATTTACAATCCACATAATATACATGCACACCGAACTTCTAGATTGTACACCACCGACATCAAAAAGATCAGTAGCCTGGGTATACCCTAACTCCAAAAATGGGACACTTCAAAAGGTTTACTCAACCCCTAAATTAGTCCTACGCCCTCTAGATGGCGTCCACTCCGAGTCGGACTCCTCAGAACCCAAGTCTGAATCCCCCTGAGCCACCTGCTCCTCTGAGGGCTCAGAGTCTCAGAGGAGCCTCGATATCAATCGGGTTGTCCTCATCACCCGACTCTAACGGAACCTCAATCCGCTCCTCCTCTTCAGACTCCTCTTCTGGCTCTTCCTCTGGCTCATCCTCTGGTTCTAACTCTGGATCTTCTGCGGGTTCCTCCTCTGGTACCTCCTCAGGCTCTCCTTCGGGCTCTTCTTCTTCGGGTTCTTCCTCTTCAGGTTCCTCTTCTGGCACTGCGTCTAGATCCACATCCATCGGATCATACCCTGCCTGTGATTCCTCCGGCTCCGGATCAGGCTCAGCCACTGAAGGTTCGGGTGCTGCAGGTGCGGGCTGATGTCCGGACTGTGCTAGGCTAGTATCCAGACTAGTTATCTCACCGTCGAGAGGGGGTATGGCCGACGAATCCCAATCTCCTACTCCGTCAAAAGGGACATCAAAACCACGGACGAGGCCAAACTCATCCATCCCATCCCGAAAACACCAGGCGGTATAGGTGTGGGCCTGCCAAAGGGATTGCCCTATGTCTACCCAGACTACGGTAGTATGCTTGATCCATGCAATATTATCATCTATCGGATACTTAACAACTCCATGATCGGTGTGCATCGGTAATCCAAAACGCTCAGGCGGTGGCGGTGGGAGATTCATGGTTCAGGCCGGGGTTCTGAAATGGTTTGGTTGAAACAACCATGAGACACATCTCAGCAAGTAAACACCCTAAACCCCACCTAGGCTAACACGTACTTCCAAACAAGTCCAAGCACAACAACACTCAACAAGCACATAACAGGCACCCAATTGCACTTACCTGGGCTTTTAATACACGCAATCTGCAGGTTAGTCTCAATTACACAAATTCCAACCACATGCACATTCCAAATGAATTTCCATGCCACAGACAAAGTCAAATATATGTCATTTCTGAGCTCGACATTTCACACACACTCATTTATGCACCACCACATCGCTTTCATTCGACTTGCCAGCGACCCGCGTTACAGTACACGCCTCAGGTCCACTTTCCATCTACGGTCCACATACGACCGTCTCAATTTCACAACACTTCTTAGCCCGCATTATAGTACACGCCTCAGGCTATGTCTCTTGCCCGCGTTACAATACACGCCTCAGGCTCAACATCCACCACCTACGGCACAATCCGCGTTGAAGTACACGCCTCAGGTTGGCAGTCTTTCGGCAGTACCGGGCATCGTCCCGCGTTAAAGTACACGCCTCAGGACGGCTCAATTCCCCGCGTTACAGTACACGCCTCAGGGACTTTCGTGACCACACGCATGACATTTCACACAAATTTTTCACTCGTTCGCTTGCTCGAACATCATACGAACACACTCGATTGACACATCAATATGCTAAATTACCAACCGATCCAATTCAGCCCATGTACGCATCAATCCTCACACATTTCACATGCTCAATTGGCACACAAATAAGCCCAAATTTCCAGCCAATTCAATTCAGTTCGCATGTGCACAATCAACTCGAATTTTTGCATTTTAAGCCAAATTTCACCATTCACAGGCGTTGTACTCCTACCGACAACCCCCAAACCAACATGTACTATATCTTAATCATCAATATGCACCAATTCGGCCACAGGATGAACAGTAATTCGGCCACCACAGAAAATCACCATAACGGCGTATTTAGGCCCGTTTTTCGCGCAATAAGCCACAATAATCACGCGTAACCATTCCAATCACAAAATCAATCAATTCTAACCTCCAATCCACCTCTAAAACTATCACAATTCCATCCAAACCACTCAGCCAAATCAGTCCAACCATTAATCCACGATTAACCCCTAAAACTTGCTAAAACGGGCCCGAACTAACCCGAAAATACCCATTATCCTAGGCGAGGGTTAGGATATCACTTACTTGTGATTCCTATGTGAAATCGAGGCCTCAACGGTGGCTGGACAGAGAGCAAACAGCAGTGGCAGCAGCGACAAGCG